TAAAAATTTCGTTTTTTTCATTCATATGGATTCCAAAATTTGAGAGGAGAAAGAAAGAGATTGACTTTACCCATCAGCTTTAGAAACCACTCCAATTTCAGCTACGATTTGTCTCATCTGTGATTTTATCAAACAAGCATCAAGAGTCAAGAGTAGAGAAATTAAACAGTAGTGATAAGGCCAACAAAGGCAAGGAATAGAGAGATGCAAACATACCTCATTGAATCGGCGACCATCTAATCGCAGACCTTCAGGGCTTACGTATTCCATTCTTGTGACTTTCACACAACTCTACTACATAGAGAAATCAATAATGAGAAACAGAACAAGTACGATACTTTGTGTTTCACAGAACAGAGAACAGACAAATCATAGAAGCAGAGAGGATAAGAAGAGACGAGGTATTACCTTTGCCGATATTTGCGGCGGCGATACGTCGGAGGTTAATGGACGGCGTCGATGAGAGAAAGGGTCCAAAAAAAAAGATAGGGCTTTTGGTTGTCTTTTGTGAATCAGTGGCGACTGTGAGGGTATAATCGTAAAAAACCATATCACATAACTAGTTTTGGGCCGCTGGTTACCAGTGGACCGTTTGGTTATAATCGAATTATACGAAATTGTTGATATTGAAATTCTACAAAATCAATCAAGGGGTTATTGGATTAATGATTTTTGTTAAGTCAATCAAAAAATTTTTAGTTCTTTTGATTCATTCATCTTGAACCATATTCGTTTGGGTATGTGTTTTGATACAGTATGAGATCATGAATTTCCAACTCAAAATAAAATGGTTATGATATAAACTTAATTCATGTTACATCTATTAAAAAAATTGATATCGTTTTGTTTATTTAAAATTGAATGAATATACAAAAAAAAAAGAGAGTAATTTTTGGTTCTATGTAAAAGGTTTGGTATTACCCAATAATTTAATATACAAAGCTCTCCGAATTTTTACATGTCTGCTTAGAAGATTCATACCAAATTGAACGCACCCCAACCGTACCATTTAAAATCGAAACCAAAGTGTAACGAATATGAAAAGAAAAATTGATTAGAACCACTCGCTTTATTTGCAAATACTTAAAAAAAACAAACATAATTTAGTTCGAATTGAAACTTAATCAGAATCAGTGATTTGGTTTCTTGTATTTGATCAACAAAAACAACTAAAAAAGATAGGGTCTAATTAAAACGAAACCAGCAACCAGATCGGTCATTCTCAATTCACTGATCACAAAACCTAGTCAATAAGAGAAAATGAAAATACTATTTTAGAATCGAGTTATTAGTCAATTATATAGTTCGTTTCTTTAAGGTTTATATGTTTCTTTCTTTCCTCGGACTCTGATATTTATTTTATCTTGTATTTAAGATTCATTTACAACATAATGGTGGTAGTATCGACGTGTCAGGATTTAAAGAATGAAATGCAAAGTGACGTATATGAAAATGACGGGCTTGTGACAGAGGAGATGATGGAATAATTACATATGTTTTTCTTTCTCTATATATTTGTATCAAAAACTATACAAAAAAACGATATTAGATCATTTAGGAGAAATCATTTTCTACCTAGTACCTACAACGACTTTGGTCCTCCTAACGAATGTCATGCAATTTAATGTTCCATATGAGTATATTACCATATTATTTCATTTCACGGTCTTACTCTAAACAAAGAGTATCAAAACTAACCATTCAACAACAACAACATAAATTAGGAACGAAACTAATCCCAAGTTTTAAAAGCCTAAAAAATCACATGTAAGATAACATGAAGTTTCTTAAGATCACAAGTTAATTCGTAAAATTACTCTTAAATTTTTTTAGGAAATCTTATAAAATTGCTTATTTTTAATTATTATTTTTGCCGACAAACTCTAGTCAAAGTTCAACAAAAAAAATTATGGAAATCTAATTTATTCTCTTGGTTCTAAGAATAAACATTAAATACCAGGGAGAGGTAGTGACTTGGACTCCAAGTAAAAGATAATAATTATCCTAAATAAATAAATACATTTCCAATTTTTTTTTTGTCAAATAACAAATTTCCAAAAAATTAATTTGCTCAATAACAAAAAAAAAATAATTAAAAAATTAATTAAAATAGAGATATGTGAGATAATTATATACACTAAATTTAAGTTAATTGATTATATTATTAATTATAATATTTTTTGGATTATTCCACCCAATTTCCCATTTCCAAACACATAATTAGATTCATTAACATTAAAAACTTTATGATAATTTCCAATTTCAGAGTCAATGCACCGAATTGACATATCCTCGCGACCAATCTCACACAAGGGGGGCCCACTAGCTAGCGCGTGATGACACGTACTGAGAGTGCGCGTGGGATCGCTAAAATTGCTTGGAGACCAAGCTATTAGAGTAGGACAAAAGGCTCTGCTTTCGGTACGGTAACTAACACGTGTCAGAAATCTAACGTCTCAATCTGAGATGCGGAAAGCCGTTTTGAATCCCCCAATGGCCGCCACGTAACCGCCTTAACCCTCCTCATTCATCTAACGTTTCCGGTTTACATAAACCGAACATAATCCTAATTCGGTTAGCTTCAAATCTTTGATAAGAATCTATACAATTTTGAATACAAAATTGAAATTGAACTTGACTCGGTCATAAATCGGTTTGAACAAGCATCCATTTCTCGCTTAACAGTTAAACATAAAGACAAAACACTAATTAATCACGTTAATTAAAAATCTCCATAAGAAGTAAATTTAGTCATGACTTTATAGTATTTAAGGAGTATGTTCCTCAGAAACGGCGATTCTTCTTTACCTTTTGACTCTTCTTT